CCCCACGCCCCGTCCCCCAGTCCCGTGCCGTGCCGTGCCTTATTGTTATTGGGTTGTAGAATAGGCCGTTTGCGGGAGGCTGTGGAATTGAACCAGTCGTTTTTGAGTGTTCTGGTGGCTCAGGCGCGGGAAGTTGGAGGCGACCTGCCTGGGGTGGATGGTGAATGTGTGGAGGAGAGTCGGGAACGTGTGTCTGCGAATATATATCGTGTACGTAGTACGTTGAAGCAGTTTGCTCGAGAGTGGAGTTCGGCGAGACAAGTGGAGCGGGAGCAGACGTTTGGTCCTTTGTTGGATGGTTTGCGGCGATGGTTACCTTTAGAGCGGTTCGAATCGGAGCGAGGTCGACGGCCATGGGTTTTGTGTCCTGGTTCTGGTCTGGGTCGGTTGCCATTTGAGGTTGTAAGAAATGGATATAACGCTCAAGGGAATGAGTTTTCATACTTCATGTTGCTGGGGTCATACTTTATTTTGAACCATGCACTCGAAACTGAGTCCATAACCATACAGCCATACGCCCTCCAATCCACTAATCGACGAGATCATGAAGACCATCTGGAAGTTGTACGTATACCCGATGTGGAGTCAACTGAAGCGGCTAAGAGTGGTGGTAATTTCAGTATGTGTGCTGGAGACTTTGCCGAAGTATACGCAACACAAATTGGAGCATGGGACGCTGTCCTTACATGTTTCTTTATGGATACGGCACAGAATATAATCAGATATATACATACTATCGCCACCGTCATACCCACTGGAGGTGTCTGGATCAATTTTGGACCATTGCTCTACCACTTCGCTGACAGTGTTATCGAACCCAGCATCGAACTCAGCTACGAAGAAATCAAATCAAGTACGCGACACCACTCGCTCGGACCCCTTTCGCTCGGACAAACACACACCCCTCTCTCTCCACACCCACCACTCTCTCTCTCCACACCCACCGCTCTGTTGTCTGCAGTTGCTTCAAAATATTTTGAATTCAAGGAAGAGAAATGGCAAGATGCATTTTATACTAGCTGTCCCAAGTCCATGATGCAAACACTATACCACTGTGTTTTCTTTGTTGCGATTCGTAATGACAAGAAGTCACCACAGTCAATTTATGATGAATGTAAGGTCACCAACAGAACGGCAAAAGATTTACCACTCGGACCGGAATACGATGGAATGTGATACTAGATGTAATATGATATGATGGAATATGTATGATACTACTGGCTGGAACAATTCAATAATGTTATTACCAATCTAATGGATCTTGTGCAGTAATTCTAGATATAGAATCATCAGCAAGCTCTTGAATATCCTTTCGTATTTTAATTCTTCTATAAAAGATCGGGCAGTCACGATTAACGCAGATTACATCCCGATGAAGTGATTCTTGGCATCGTTGACATTGAGTCCAGAGCTGATTAAATTCTCCAATTTTTTTTTGATATTCGCTTTGTCGTTCTTGTACAATTTGCGCAATTTTCATTTCATCTTGTGAGCAATGCTTACAATAGCATGAACCATCATTTATTACTGTACGACAAACTAAGCATCTGTAACCTTTAGTGATAAATCCACCAAGTCCTTTAAAACCACTACTACCACCGGCAAGTATTTTCTTTTGTGTAACATGACTACCAGAGAATAATGAATCGGCAAGCTTCTTATTTATGGGCTCGAAAATCCTCAGTAAAGAATTTTTCAGACTGTCAAGGTAAAAGTCAACATCAATAGGTATATTGTTCTGAAGGACATACAGAGGATCTTCAGCTCTTTCATATTGCGGTTGATTCTTGTATCCCGCGATAACAACATAGTAAACACGATCTCCAACATTTGGAGCGTTCGTAGGATCTCGTTGTCTCAATTTTTTAGCTAATTCTACGTGTGCTAGCTTAGATGTGTAATCTTCTTTACCTAAAGACTTGCTTAATACAAGATATGACATATCAATTTTATTCATAAGTAGATCGCGCACTTTATCCTGAACTAGTTTTGCTGCCTTGGAAACATCACGCTGTACTAGTAATATCTTCAAGGCATCATCCAGCATCTGTTGGACAAGTAAACAAAAATCCCGACGGACCGTTTCTATACCTTTGCAGTCTATTGAATCATGCTTTTCAGGTTTCGTCCATTTTAATCCAGCGTACCTTTTCTTCTGCATAAGTAAAAAGGGGTAGAATATCTTTTCAAATTCCAAACTTATAGGCGCAATAAACTTGTTGCTAATTAATTTGCTTGCTTCTAAACCCAATTTCATTGCTTCACCAACATCGCTGACACCAAAGTTGACCATGACACTATCAGTATCACCGTAGACAACGATTGCATCCGCAGGATAGTTGTTTTTTTTCGTAAAGTTCAACTCCACTTGTTGCTTCGTAAATTCGATCATGGTACGACCGAACGCAGTAATAGATTCTGATATGGGTAAGCAAGGTAACTGCCCAGCATTGACGGCACCAGTATAACCGTAAACTGAGTTCGCACTGACCTTTAACGCCAGTTGACGTCCATCTAGCACTTTGCGTTTCAACGGGTCGGTGCATTTTTTCAACTCGGCCTTAGCTTTCTTTCGAGCTGCTAAAAGGTCCTCAACAATCGACGGCAATATACCACGCCGTATTTTGGATGTTACAAATGATTTACCGGCCGGCGTGGTTTCCATCCAATCTTTCCCTTCAACCTCGCCGTCGCCGGCGTCGGTTATGAGGTATGACTGAGGTACCGGATCAGGTAGTAGTGTAGTGTAGCATAAATTATGAGCTATCATAATGCTAGGATACAAAGATGCGAAATCTAAAGTAGCGATTGGTATGTCATAATAACCTCTGAGTGGCTCCAGCACCGTTGCGCCTTCATACTGTACTTCAGTGTTGTTACCGGACGTCTTGATTTGCGGCATTAAATACTTTTGTTGCTTACACTTCCTTAATAATTGTGACGTAACTTTAATCTGCTGTCCTCTAGTCAACAACAAGTTCACAGGTACACCCGTAACCCTGGCCATTTCAATGATATTAACCAACAGTGAAAGCTGGTGTATAAGCTTTATAACCAAAACGGAATCCTTCAGACAATAAACAGCGATCCTTTTACGCGTTTCATCATTACCGTGCTGTAATACACACATCTGGGAGTAGTGTACATCTTCCTTTTGCTCCTTGAGGAAGTATGAACACACATTATTTAATGAATAACTTTTCAGTTTATGTTCACGACGGATAATCTCATAAATATCAAATTGGATCCGACCATCAACATTGATATCTTTGTTTTCGTGCATCCCAAGTTGTTTCGTATTAATCATACTGTCATGTACTTTAATTTCGGAAGGTAGCACACGCCCAAAATTACGGAAATTAGGACAGTCCAATTTTCTGCTTCTTACTAACATGTAGTTCAAATCAAAATTGATAAAATTGTATCCAGTTAAGATGTCTGGGTCCAGTATATTCACGGTGTCCCGCCAGCCGATCAACATGCAGCGTTCATCTTTAAATGATACAACTATACTACCGCCTATAGGCGCACACGTGTCCAAAGTAAATATTATCCTGACTTCGTCATATATGTCACCACGTGCCTCATTAGGACCTCCATGATCGCGGGCCTGGTCAGGGTTGGGTTTAGCACGATTATTACATGGATTGACCTGTGAAAGTACCGTGCTGATTTGAATAACTGGGTCTTTTTCTGGTACTGGAAATCCTTTTGAGCCCTCGGATATGCATTCTATATCCAGAGCTAGTAATCTAAGTCCTTCGGGAATGACTTCATAGTCGCCTTCTATGGGTAGTCCAATGATGCTATTACTGATGCAGCCTAATTCGTAATTACAACGACTAATTCGACGACTCGCTGCAACTTCTGTTACACCACTTACTCGGATGCAACCACAACCAACTATATCCCGATCAATCATCCAACGCAACGTATATGGAACGGTACATTCATATACGGTCGAACTAAACACAATACTACCGCTCTTAGTTGACGTCAATGTGAACTGATTTTCTATCATCGATTTTGCCGCATTCATACATCTGGAATTAAAGAATGTAAGTTTAAAGAAAGTGTGAGAATGATTCTGCGGGTCATAACCCATAACGGTCTCACCCTCACATACCTCCAAACACGCCAGGGAATTAATACCTAGCCGTCGCTCCAACTGCTGGCGCAATAATTCACCCACGTAATCTTTTTCCCCTTCAACCTTCATAGGACATTCCACCAACAAATACGGAAATACATCGAACACATGTAGACACACCGACACACCTGTATGTAATGTAACCCCATACACCATCACAACAGGCAGCTGATCTGAACACATATCTAGATGTCATACTGATTAGATGTCGGGTGTCATACTGACTAGATTGTCGGGTGTCATACTGATTATGTGTCCTGTCTTAAAGCCATCGTATTTTGTCAAAATGGGGTTCGGGTACTCTTCCGAAGATATATTCATGTCGTTAACATCTACTACGAATATTTCCATTGTTCCGAGATCACATGGAGTCTTCCGTCGTCCGAATTGCTTTAAGTGTTCAAGATACCCTAAGTAGTCCGTGTCCTCATACAGGGAGCCGCCACCACCGTTACCCAGACGCCGTTTCCTAGCGGTAGCCCCCGCCGTTTTGACTTGACCGAACATGTGGCTGGTCTTCACGCCAAAGTCCACGTCTGGGAAGAATTCGGTCACGTCCGATGGCTTGGAATACTCGGCCGTCACGTAGTACCGTCCCACGCCCCCTTGGACATTGCCGGTCCGCGCCCCCGCTCCCTCTGCAGGCGACATTTCTTTTTTAAAATGGACGAACTCATCAAGTCTATTCGACCCGCAGACGATATTCCTACACTGGACGAATGGCTGATAACCTCCAACCTCGGCCAGGACGGCGCTCTACTCAAAGAACACCACGCTCACAAGTAAGCAACAACGTTGACCGCTCAATGTCGACCGGCAGATGTGCATAAAACAAACATTAAGCTACGAACATGTGCTTTAGACGATATCACGAAGTCTTTGAAATACTGGAGAGACTAGCAAGTCCTCAGGATCCTGGAAATGTGGACGAAAAAGGTGAGACAAAATCCTTATCCGTAGACGACAAAATGCGGATGATGCTAGTTGTCCTCCACGGCAACATGGGCGATTATAATAACACATCTTTATTGCGTCTTGCAAGTGAGTTGTCCTTGATTCGGGTTGGCGTAATTGGTCTGAAGTTCATGACCTATTGGTTCCCGTTGTCTAGTTTGTCTGATGATAATACAATCTCATTCACGTCAACCATCGCAATGCATTTATTAGCCTTAGATGGGCAAGACTCTTTGCCCTCCGAACACCACAGGCCCGGTGGGTGTCTAGAGTTAGCAGAAGAGATGATGGATGGCGTGAAAGCCAAGGTGGAACGTAATTTCGGTCTCAAGAATTACTCGGAGGCGATTTACCACCGTGTTTTATGCGAAATTCATAAGCAGCGCAAGGATTACACACGTGTGTGCAAACACGCTATGTTACATTTGAAAAATCGACCGCAGCAAATTTCCGAAGAACACGACCTAAAGCTTGCTGAGGATTTATGCATGGCGACCTTGCTTTCGCCAAATGTATTTTCGTTTACCGATTTGTTGCAGCAAGAGGATATTTTGAAAACAATCTCTCCCGGTAGCAAGTATTATGACGAGAACGACGGAAACGTTTGGCGAGATCTTGTCGTAATTTGTAACAATGGTGATTATGACATGTATAAGCTGTTTCTCCAGAAATATGCCGGCAACGAGGGGGGAAGTTCCAAGCTAGAACAGCTTGGTCTTACTCCGGGATATCTGAGCCTTATTGAGTCCAAGTTACGATCATTTGCCTTATTGGAGAGTGCATTTAAGAAATCCGAAAGGCTCTTTACATTCGAGGAAGTTTCCAACATCTGCCGTATACCTCAAGAAGAAGTGGAACTCTTCATCTTATCACTCATGCGTCGAGGCTTACTCTCAGGCAAAATTGATGCAGTAGATAATGTCGTTACATTCCATAAACTTCAACCAAGAGTTCTTGACGCCGATAAAATTCTCAACATGTCCCAACAGTTCCTTCTTTGGTCTAACAAGATGGATGCCGCTGTTAAGCAGATGCGTGACCTTTCACCAACGGTACAAGCTACATTAAATGTGCTTTAACCTGCTCCTGAAACGTCCCATATTTTTCCCCCACGAGAACCATCTTTTTCCCCCACGAACAGAACAGCCGGATGGTGGTGACCCAGAAGAGTCCGGTTAAGTAAAGTAGTCTCCCTTATCGATTGGGTAGTACTATTTTTGGTTATGAACTCGCTTTGATTTGAAACTAACTAACTAGCTAACTAAGCCTTCTATTGGCCGAAAGATTTCGGAAGTACTCCGTTTTTTTTCCTGTTCAGATTCCGTACTCCAACACAGCCTTCAGTATCGCTTCAGCTTGGGCAGCATCCTCAAACACATCGCGTCCCAACAGCGCGGGAGGCTGTGTGGTAGCCAGTCCAAGTGTGGTACTCCGGCTTCCTGCGGCAGAGAGGCCTCCGATGGAAGGCACTGCCAACTTTTCTGCGCCAGGAGTCACTGGCTCCTCAAACATGCCTCTCGGTTGTTGCTTCAAAGAAGACCAGGAGCATCCCGGCGTACCGGAAGTGGTAGAAGTCACTGCTGATGACACTACAAGTGAAACCGCTGACCCTGCGTGGGCAGTCTGGGACCAAGCCTTGGACCCCAGTGACTGAGACTCACGTTGTGACTGAGACTCACGTTGTGACTGAGACTCACGTTGTGACTGAGACTCACGTTGTGACTGAGACTCACGTTGTGACTGAGACTCACGTTGTGATTGCGTTCCAGCTTTACCCACCCTGGAATTGTTCCGATTAACCAGGGAAGCTTCAGAGTTAATGTTATCCAGCAAATAGCCGAGTAGACGGGCCTCCGATGCTGCGCCCAAATTGTCCCGATCCTGTAAACTTTTATCCTGAAGAAGATTATGATCAAGAGAAGCATGACTAACACTGACGTCATGACCAACGTCATGTCCGACATCATGTCCGATGTCATGACCGATGTCATGACCGATGTCATGAACATAGTCTTGGTGGAATTCTTTGGCGAGATCGCTGCGGCTCGATGTACTCAATATCCGTAAGTCCCGATAGGCAACCCCCGACCCGAGACGTCGAGACCTGAAAGCTGCGTGCCCGCGTCCTCCAGACCCCAGATGTCCTCCAGACCCCAGATGGCCTCCAGACCCTGGAGGTGCTCCAGACCCCAGAGGCCCAATACCGCTGGAACCGTATGTCCCCTGCCCATGGTTGGTTGTGCCTAGTCCAGTCATCGCGAAGCTAGCCGAAGTGTCCCGGCGAGAATCTTCTATCGCGGTTTGGGAGACTGGTCTAGAGCCTTCCAGGCCAGGACCCAAGACGTAAGCGTTGAGTTGGTCGTTGGCGTCGAATTGGTCGTCAACGTTGAGGAGTTGGTCGTGTCCCATGGGGGGACCAAGGTTCCCCGCTGCAGCCGCGGCCGCAGCCAGATGATCCCTAAGTTCTTCATTTCCATGAGCGAACCTACAGTTCGATCCATTCCAGCATCTATTGTTCTTGTAGAAATTACACAAGCTCACCTTATAGAAGACGGAGCTGCTTGTCCTTAATTCTTGAGGCGAATGTGCAAATGGACAATTTTGTACATTGCAGGACACCCGTTTGCTGTAGCTACTGCACAGTTTTGTTTTACTTAAGTCAGGTAGCGGTCTCAGCTCTTTCAATGAATGAGCAAACCGACACGGGTCACCGTTAGCGCAAGTCCCCTCCAGACACCCGACATTGACGGCGAATTGGTTCTTGTACCGGGGATTCTTCAACTGACACTTCAAGAAGAACGGGCACATCTTGGTTTTAAAGAACTGGCCACTATCATTCCGGCCACCCCCCATAGCTACCGCCGCCGTAGACGGCCGCGTTGACTCTTCTGCAGAAGATAGGGAACGCCTCATAACAGAAAATTAAACAGGGAACAAACCAAGCCACTCCAGTCGTTTCCGATAGCCTAAGTTAGTCCTACAAGACATCTCTTTAAAATCCAATTCTTCTCCTGACCACCACCGGAGTGACCCATCACCAGTGTGACGACGACCCGTGTGCCACCTTTTACCTGTAATCACAACGCGTGCCGACGACGGATAAAATTCGGATGAAACAGATCTGGAAATTGCAGGCACTAAGCGAGACGGCGACCATTCTGACAAAGGGGGTCGCTGAATCGCAGCCCCGACTCCTGAGTGATTCGTAAGGTCACCAGGAGGGCACGAAGGGTGTGGACAAAAAATAGATTTTAGACCACGTCGACCAATCGAGACTTAGATTACGTTCCTTTTGAGACCGAAAGCGACCCTGGGGCCTGTAACAACTCGGCCTTCCGTCTGGCTGATCTGGCCGAGTGGGAAGGAGAATGTTCGCTGACTGAGTATCTTCGAAAGCAGGTTGAGGCAGGGAGGCGACTGCTCCGAGCAACCGAGCTGATGGTCGTGTCGGAAGGACTTTTGGAAGGGGAGGAAAGTCGTAAGGCGGCTGATATGGATCAGCGGCGTGCCTTGAAGGAAAACTTTAAGCGCCGACGCATGCAAAGCGAACAGGTGCGCGAAGAAGACGGAACGCTGCGGCTCTCGAAGCAGCTGCTAACGGTCACTCGAGAAGACACTCAACCGGAAGACCAAAAGACCATGGACGATCAAAAGACTACTGCTGATGAAAAAACCATTGCGGACCAGAAGATAACTAAAGAAAAGCCGAAGCCACAGGCAACACACAGCTTGGCGTACGTACCCCTCCCCCAAGCCTCCCCCAAGCCCCTCCTACACACCTCCTCTTTTATCTAGGCGACAAGCTGTCATTAATCCTTTGGTGCACGCAGAGCTTAAGTCTCTTTTGAAATCTAAACAGAACTAAACTACTATTACCAACCAGATATATGCACCTAAGGGGCAGGTTGCACACACAGGGTGTGGCCGGGTGGTAGGTTGCACACACGTGTGTGATGGACACACGGGTATAGCCATGAGCATAATACGGACGGGTAGTAGGTCAGTGTATTCCGTTGCACCCATGGCTGCTTCTGTAGACTTGGGCGGGGGCGGTACGACGACTGGTGTTGGGTGGAGCGGTGTCTTGCATGTAGTATCCTTCTACGAATTCGGGTGGTTCGTTGATTGTTTTGTTCGTGAGGTTAGATGAGGGATTAGTATAGTTTAGAAGACAGCAATAGATGGTGGTTGCGATAACGGAGCCAAGTCCGGCACCGACAGTGAGTGCAGCCCAGTGGTCTAGTGGTAAGAGGTTCTTGAGGTAGGATTGGGCGATGGTGACATGTAGTTCAGCAATAATGCCGAGTGCAACAATGCCGCCGAGGACAAGGAAGAGCAATCCGTACATGGAACGGCCGTTATTCTGGTTCCGGGCACCACTGAAGGCTAGGCCAGCGGCGACACCAAGGTTAACCAGTCTTGTGACAGCTGCAGTGTTGATACGCTGTCTTGCTTCCTGGAGAGAATCATCACAGAAACGCTTGGCCGATTGCCTTACGAGGTTGGGACTTACGATGGGGCGTTCGCTCCCTCTACTTTCATTATTGTGTGCATTTGCGTGTGCATTCGCACCCTCCATTGCGGCGATAATACGTTTCTGAGCTTGCACCTCAGTCTCTTTAACGAAGGACGGTAGCCAAAAGAATTCCCCAACTCGACTATGCATATCTTCCCGTAATTGCTGCAATGTCGGCGAAAAAATGTCCGTAACCGTCTTGATGTTTGCCTGAATTGCATCCTCTTCAGCGCTGTCCATTACCTCTTTTAATTTCTGATCGAACTCCAATCCAAATTCTGTATCATGGCAAATGACCTGTTTATTGTAATCAGCCACCAACTGGTCGCCCATCTTCTTTATCGCTGCCTGCAACTCCTCCTCCGTAGCGGGCAGCGAAACTTGCCTTCTTATATCGATTCGATAACGGCTCTGCGCCGTTGTCAGAAAGCCCAGCGCCGTTTCGCGACACTTATTTGCCCATTGGTTCACAATGCCCTCCTCCTCGTTCTCCAACCGGTTCTGGGCCGTGCTCTTCCTTACCACCATCAGGTTCAACAATCCAAGCTCCTTCATTTCCGAATCGAACACGAACAAAGCAGCGTTTTTGCAACCGTATAAACGCGTGCGTAACTCGTTCAATTCGATAGAAACCAGCTCAGATGAACTCATGGAAACGCAACTATGGAATTTTCGGTTCACTTCCGCATTCAATTCCTCCATCAACGCGTGTACCACACGCTCGTTTTCTCGTTCTATCTCTCCGCCAGCTAGTTCCAGCCTCTCACGGAACATCTTTTCAGTAACCTGACAACACTCGGGAATCTGGATCGATCCTGTCCCCAGTACAGACCCTGTCCCCAGTACAGACCCTGTACCCAGTACAGACCCTGTACCCATAGACACTGTTCCTGCTCCGGACAGATTATGGGGCGGCGCACCCTCCGGCATATGAGATACCCCTACGAACCTAAATGGCTCGTAGAATTTCCGCATAATCGGCAACTCATGATTCTTAAGAATTCGCTTCAATGATACTTCATTTTCCGGACGACCACCAATCGTCTCCTCCACCGCCAATCGAAAATTCGAAACTAGATCATCCAAGAATATATCACACCATCGACGTACAGAATCACAATTCGCACTTCTCAGACGGTTTTTCGCCTCGTTCAAACTCATCATAAAACCCCGTTCTGCCTCTTCAACTGATCCTAACAACGATTTGTTGTTCACCACACCACTTATAGTAGCACTAACCAAACAACTATTACCCCACAACGTCACTGTTACCCACCCCGGTTTGATGGTTTCCCCTGTGTGATGGTTTCCCCTGTGTGATGGTTTCCCCTGTGTGATGGTTTCACCTGTGTGATGGTTTCCCCTGTGTGATGGTTTCCCCTGTGTGATGGTTTCCCCTGTGTGATGGTTTCCCCTATGTGATGTTTACTTCCATAATTTGAGGGCTTGGTAAGTCTGTTTTTCTATTCCATATTCAAAAGCTTTTGCTCCAAGTGGTTTAGATTCGCGTATATGTCTATTAGAGACTTCGTTGAGATCTTTTTCAAGTATAGCAAGTATATCCGTTTGCATTAATTTGAGTTGTAGTTTGGTGAATTGTTCGGCGACAGATGGGAGTTCAGGGAATGGGCTTTCATGATTACCATCAGTAGATGAGGTGTTGGCTGCTTCGATTAGGAAGATAAGTAGGTCGGCCATGTCCCCTCCGGTCATGGGTAGTTTATCTTGTGAGCCTAGAGTACCTTGGTGTCCATTGAAGCCGCCGCCCTTAAA